CCTTCACACTGACTTCTGCGCCCCATGAGGACACGCTCAGTCTGCACATCCGGGCGGTTGGGCCCTGGACCATTCGCCTCAGGGAGATCTACTCACCCCCAACAGATGGCTGTGCCAGATACCCCAAGGTACCCAGACCCAGGCCAGATGTGTCACATGCTCCCATATCCCCTTAGCAGGCTTTGGCCCTGCGGCACCAGACTCCCCACTGTGTCCCCCACCATCCAGAGACTGGTTGTTTCAGATAATGCCAGAGTGCCCCTCTTGCCCTCGCTCTATACATCTACCTGCCTTTCCTTGCCTCCCATTTCTGGCTTCAGAGCTATGGTGGTAGCCGAGCTTAACTCAAACCCACTCCCCTCCCTACAGCTGTACCTTGACGGACCATTTGGAGAGGGCCACCAGGAGTGGCATAAGTTTGAGGTGTCCGTGCTGGTGGGAGGGGGCATTGGGGTCACCCCCTTTGCTTCCATCCTCAAAGACCTGGTTTTTAAGTCATCAGTCAGCTACCAAGTGTTCTGTAAGAAGGTGAGTGTCCCCTCCACCAGCCAGCCCATGACCCTGCTCCCTATCTGTGTCCACCTGTGTCCATCTGTGCCCGTCTCTCCGGCCCCTGTTCTTGGTCTCCCTGATCTGGCCAAGGCCAAGCTGCCCTGACCCCAGGGGGTCAGGATACCGGCAGACCCTAAAGCATCGAGTTGTTTTGCTGGTGCCCTCAGGCTCCTTCCCTCAGTTATGCAGGCACCCCACATAGGATGTGATCCTGGAAGCCTCTCCAGGCAGGATTACAGAGGGGTGAAGAAACCCATTCCCTCCTACAGAGGTGGCTTGCACTTAAGGCATTGTTGGGCTGGGAGAGGGAAGGGCACACTTGGGGTGGGGCACAAGTGAAACTGGCTTTGCTCTCAAGAGGAAAAAAAATGGGAGGTGGCAAGGCAGGGCTGATGGGCACAGCTGGCTCCAGGAACACAGCCCAGGCCCTCAGGCCTCCTATACACCAGGCCCCTTCACCCCAGCCTGGACCTGGTGGCAGGCCCCTGCTTGTCTCTCTAGGCCTGGCAGGTTGAGTCAGGGATACAGGAATGCAGCAGGCAAAAGCCCAGCCCATGTGTTGTCAGCATTGGGAGGGGGGCAGACAGTTCCCTGCTCCTTTGTTTATACCAGCTCTGCCTCTGCTTCTTAACCCACAAGGCTCCACTTCTCCCCATCAGAAGCTGGAAATGGGTTCCCTGAGGGCAGCTTCCATCCCTATGGCCTCTCTTTGAATTCATTCCCATCCCTTCCAGGCAGCCAGCTGGGTCTTCCCTGAGGCGGTTCTGTGACATGCCCCTTAGTGGGACTCGCTCCCTCTAGGCTAGGGTTGTTTGGGAGCCTAGCAGCCTGAGGAAGGCCCACTGGAGGGAGTGGCAAGGCTGGCTCAGCGTGACAAAGCTGCTTCCCACCCCAGGACACCTTCAGCACTAAGAGGCCTTTCTCAGTGCCCCAAGCTGTCACTTGCTTGCACCTCTCCGTGCCCTGGGGCAACTCCATCTCCTGCCCCAGAGCCTGGCCCTGTGGCTCCATACACTCCATCTCCCCAGGGTGTCTGGGGTGAGGCACAAGCTGGCCAAGACCAGAAGAGTACTAATGATGTGGAGATCCCTGGGATGTAAGGAGCCTGAGCTGAGCTGGGTCCTAAGCTCCAGCCATGTGTCCCCAGATCTACTTCATCTGGGTGACACGGACCCAGAGGCAGTTCGAGTGGCTGGCTGACATCATCCGGGAGGTGGAGGAGAATGACCAACAGGACCTGGTGTCTGTGCACATCTACATTACCCAGCTGGCTGAGAAGTTCGACCTCAGGACCACCATGCTGGTAGGTCAGGGCCAGGCAGGCAGGGCAGCCGAGTAGGTGTGTGGGTTGGCAGGCTAAGGCAGGATGGCCAAGGCAGGCAGATGGACAGCTGGGCTCAGTTGGCAGGAGGCACAGAGCTGGTGGCTCCAATACTCAGCCTCCAGCTCCTTCCTTACCCCAGGCTTTGGGCTGGCTTGGGCTAAGCACCTACCCTGATTGTCCTTGGCTTGACTTTCCCTTGTGCTCCCAGTACATCTGTGAGAGACACTTCCAGAAGGTGCTGAACCGGAGTCTGTTTACGGGTCTGCGCTCTGTCACCCACTTTGGCCGACCCCCCTTTGAACCTTTCTTCAACTCCCTGCAGGAGGTTCACCCACAGGTCAGTGCCCACCCCATATCCAGGTTCTCTTCACTTTATCATTTGGGGTGTAAGCATAGTTCCCAAGCCTGCTCCGTCAGGGAAGAAACTGACTGCTGACAAGAAGCCATCCCCTGGGAGGCTGGTAGGGTAATGGGACGGCAAAGAGAAGTGGGGGTTACCCTGAAAGGCTAAGGGAGGAGGCAGGTGACAGGGACTTGCCACTTCTGAAGCCATGATGCCATGTCCAGAAGAAGAGCTCAATGATTGAGCAGGCCCTAGCCATAAACTCAGAGCTACCATTACCGCTAATACTGGGCCAGGCCTCACCCTGGACACGGAGCTAATCTTCACCATGAACCCTGGGCAAGCCACGGCTATCATAAATACTGAGTTAGCCCTAAACCAGACACTAAGCTATCCCTCAACTGGACCATTGATGAACCCAGCCCCTACTAGAAACACTGACCTTGCACTTTAAGCTGGCAAATGCCTCAGAGGGGGTAGAGATTGGACCCACAGAGAGCAAGTCTACCAAAATCGACTTAGACTTAATACTCAGCCAGCCCTCACCACGGATGGTAGAAGCAAACCGTCAGGAACACGGAATGAGCCCTCATTGACTCCTGATGATCTTTAACATGGACACTGAGCTAGCCCTCCCTGTGAACTCTGAGCTAGCCTTCACTTCCTCCCTCAACAGGTCCGGAAGATTGGGGTATTTAGCTGTGGCCCCCCTGGCATGACCAAGAATGTGGAAAAGGCCTGTCAGCTCATCAACAGGCAGGACCGGACTCATTTCTCCCACCATTACGAGAACTTCTAGGCCTCCTGCCCAGGGGCGCTCTACCCACGGGCTCTACCCACTGCCCAGCTGAGCAGAGGTTTGGGCCCCACCTCATCTGTGTACTTCCTGTTTCTGGCTCCCTCAGCCTTCTCCCCATTCCCCCCTCCCAACCTTGGGGCAGGAAGGTGACCATGGTCAGTCACCCCATGTGGGTTCAGGGACCCCCAGGCTCACAAAGTCTCAGCCTGGAGAAGTGGAAGGCACTGTCTAGGGACTCCAGGTTGAGAGCTATTATTGTTTTGGGGCAAAGTAACCTCTTCTTCCAAACCAAGGAAAAAATTTAAAAGACTGGAGCTGGCAAGTAGTGTGTGTGTGTGTGTGTGTGTGTGTGTGTTCCTAAGGGTAAAGTGGGAGCACAGATGGGGGCATCTTAGAACCCCTTTCCCTAGTCTTCCCCCTCTTCTGGGCTCCCCACTATCAAAAGAGCTGGCAAATGCCTGGGAGGGAGTAGAGGCTGGACCCACAGAGAGCAATTTATAGGGATCCCCTCACACCCCAATCTAACAGCACAATTGCTCTTCTCTCGCAAGTTTTTGAACAGGTCCTGTCGTCAGAACCTGACCCAGTATCTATGTAGTTCTCTTCAGCCCTCTTCTCCTCTTCCTGCTGCATAGGCTCCTTTACGAATAAACCATTTTTCTGCCCTCTGGGTTTCTTTATTTTACCGCGGGATGGGGTAAGTACTGAAAAGAGGAAGCTACGCTACCAGCCAGCTAACCTAGCTGGTGTAAAAGTTCTCTCTGAGCTTGCCAGTATCCATTGAATAAAAGAACCTGCCCAAGCCAAATGCCCCAGCTGGAGACCCCTTTCCTGATCAGGAGGAGGAGAGAGAGAGAAGGTGTGGGGGGTTCTGGAGAAGGTGCTGGACATTAAGTGGGGTGGTGGGGAGACACACAGCAGGAGCCTACAGGGAGGGAGAGTGGGTCTGGCCTGCTCCAGGACCTCAGTTACTCCCAGCCCTTCTCTGAGTAATGGGCGAATTGAGACCAGGTAGTGAGATGACAGCGAGGAGACAGATGAGCACATCACCTAGTTTTCTCATCTGTAAAATGACTGAATGCCGTCCAACTCTAAAGCAAAGCTCTATGAGGGAATTTCTGAAGCCATGCTCAATTTCAATACATCCTTTTGACTGTACCTACAGAATTCTTACACTGATCAGATCACGTATCCTGGATTTCGAAAATCCAAAATCCCATGATTCACACCACACTTGGGAGTTGCAGATTTAGATTCTGCGGCCCTCAGACTGCCCTTCCAGGGCAGTTGTCCTGAAGGGTGTGTGTTTGGCCCACCCAAGAGTTTCTGTTCAGGTTGCCCGTGGGAGCAAGAGGGCGGGCCTGGAATGGCTTGACAGCAGCTCCGCCTGGCTTCCCAGTTGGTATCCCGGGGGCTGGGCCCACCTGCCTCTGTGAGCTCCAGCTGTGGGCACCGCGGAAGCCGCAGACAGGAGGGTGTGACCCGGCGCCCTGGGCCCGCAGTTAGGCGCACGGCCAGCAGAGGGCGCGCGCGGATGGCCCCCGCCAGCCTCGGCCGCGAGCCGGAGCCACAGCCCGGAGCGCGATTCAGACCCACGCCCGCAGGCTGCAGGTCTCCGGGGCTGAACCCTTCCTTCAGGGAGTGGGAGAGGCGCAGCAGACCCTCACTTCCTCTGGAAAGGAAACGCGTCGGCCGCGCTGGTTTTCCCGGCTCTGCGGGCGCTCGGCTTCCGCGTGGCAGGGCCGCCCCGCTCCTCCCGCCTGGCGCGCTGCCTCTTTGTTTCTCCTCTGCTCCCCTCCTCCCAGACAAATGGCTGTAGGCAGGAAATTGGATGCGCTCCTGGGGAGCCGCGCTCATCCGCTCGGCGGGGAGGGGGCGCCGCGCCGCCGGCCAGCCGGCTCCGCCCCACCTCCAGCGGGGGCTGGGATAGTGGGAGATGTTTTGACATCTTGTCAAAGGAAGGAACTTGATGCTTCGAAAGCGCTTTTCACAGCCGGCCCGTGTCTGCTCTAGAGCTGATTTATAAACAGATCTGTGCTCGCTTCGCCGCTCCCCACCCCGTCCACCCGGAGGGAGGGGAGGGGAGGCGGGCGCTGGAGGCGCGGACGCGACTGTGCCTGGTAGAACTGGGTTTATTTATTGCCTCTGGCTGGGAGCCAGGGCGGTCCAGGGACCGCACAATTTCCCTCCAGCCCAAGACGTTCCTCTTCTCTTCCCGCCCCAAAGCCATCTCCATCCCAGGGGTCTGCCTTCCCCGAGCTCCGCGCCAGACTCTGGGCAGAGCCCGCCGGTGGTTTTGGAGTGGAGGCGGAGAGATGGTCAGGGCGTCCCCGCGGGCCCGCGTCCGCAGTGACCCCGGGAGAAGAGGGTGGTGGGGAACGGGGTAGCCCCTCTGCCCTACGGGCGGCAGGGGGCTGGAGGTGGCAATCTTACACCCCGCAGGAGACCCGCGGTTCTGAAGCCGCCTTCCAACAGGGACTATGCTTTCTCCTCTAGGATTCCTCTCTCCTCAGCTCCAGACCACCTCTTACTTCAAGGCCCCCGTAGCCGTTCCTCTTTAGAATAAATTAAGAAATCTCCAGCTTCCACTCGATCCAGGGGAGAGGGGTTAGAAAGGCTTGGGAGATCATATCCCGGGGAAGGACCACAGCCCTCGGCCAGGGGACGGCCACAGGGCTGAGTCTAGATCTGTCACAGTGCCCGGGCCTCACATCTACAGAGTCCGGATGGCCACGGGGTAGAGCAGGGACATATGCTCAGCCCCCTTAATGGGCAGCTTGCGGCTTGCGTAGTGGTGCACGATTTCAGGGACGCTGCTGAAGGGTGGGCTGTTCTGGCCCAGCACGTACTTGTGTTCCTTGGTCCGGGACAGCTTCATGTGCATGAAGCCCTGACTGCTCCTGGGAAGGGGAGAGGAAACCCTGGTGAGTAGGGGCCCTTTCCAATCCCCCGCCCCTCCCCACCCCGACAGCAAAAGTTGTTCCAAACCAGCTGAGCGTGGACATGACCCGGGAAGGTGGTCAGTCCAGAAAGCAGAGAGGGGGCGGAGGGGATTTCGTGAGTAGGTAGCAGTAGGCATTGGCTTTGTGGTGAGGGCACTGGGTGTGCCAAGAATGTATGCATAGTGAGTATACAGGGTGTGTGCGGGTGGAAATTGGAGGAACCAGCACCCCCAAACACACACACACACACACACACACACACACACACACACACACTCCAAACCGTGGTATCCAGGCACCTCCGCCTTCCATCCTATGTGGCCAGAGCCAGTTTACCCTCCCACCTCTGAGCTGTGGAGGTGGCCACCTATGAGGGGCTCGTGGTCACTCCTGTGGAGATTCACCCATGGCAGGACAGTGGGGAGACAGACTTGACAACCAAGCGAATCTTGGTTGGGTCTCTCTCTTGCAGAGACTAGAGGAGGTGGCGGGCTGCTCTGGAAGCCCCTCCCCCCAAATCTGGGAATGCTCGGTTGCCTTGTCCTGGGGATATCCCTTCATCCTCCTGCTAACTGGGCCTTGGGTCAAGCCCTCAACTCATCTATCCAACCCGTCAGCCTGGGATGACATCATTGGTGAGGCTGCAGCTCCATTTCCCGCGTTCTGAGAGGACAGTCTTCACTGCCTCTCCCATCTCCCCACCATAATCCAGGAAATCAACATTAGTGTCTGGCCCTGCCCATAAGACAAGGTCCCCCTTGCGCAGAGCTCTGGCCAGCCCCCAGGTTTCTGGGCACCCTCAGTCTTAGAGAGAGATGCAGGGTTGGGGCCCCAGCAAGAACAACATTTGTCCAAACTACCACAGGCCTGAGCTGCCAGGCCCCAGGGGTAAGGGATAAGCACTGCTTGGGGGAGCCCTAAAGCCTGAGTACTTGTCTCTGCTGGTCAGAGCCTACTTGGGGACAAGGATGGGGCTCAGAAACAGGTAGGACTGGTAAGGGGGCTGACTTACGGTGAGGCCCCCCACCCTTGAAAGGTGAAGCTGGCAAACCTCACTTGCCTCCCCTGCCTAGGTACAAAGAGGCTCTGACTGGACCCATTTCACTAGGCCCACCAGTGAGAAAGCAGGGGTGGGGGTGGGGGGGTGACAAAGAGGAAAGGGATGGGAGGGGAAAAACAGGCCCTTACTTAACTGTATCCTTCCCTCCCCTCACCTTCCCAGGTACAGCGCCCTAACCACGCCTGGGTGTGTGTGTCAGGGTGGGTGCCACCTTGCATCTGTCGGTAGGAGATAACAGGCTGAGGCTGACAGTGACCACACAGGCCCTGGGGATAGAAGCCAAGGACCAGCGGAAAATGTACGGCCCCTGGGAGCTGTAGAAAGGGGAGGCAGTGAGTGGTCACCCTCCCCTGTCTGCCTTATGTCAAGGACCAGACCCAAGGCTTTGGGCAGCAGCACGGGCCCTGCCTTCCCTCACCCTCTTGCAGTTTGAGGACAGCTCTCACAGTCCACTTGGGAGAATCACCTCTCCTAAAAACTGCATTATATCTTCTCCTTGAGGGATAGGTCTGGCCCTCAAGGGAAACAAGTGGCCAGAGACTGGAGTTGGAAGCTGAGATCTCAGCCTCCATCTGGATAACTGACTTCCTGGGACAAAATCCCAAGGGTCCGTTAGGACACAGCAGAACCCTTGCCAGACCCTCAGAGAGCTGGGGTGGGACTAGCTGCGCCGCAGGGCCAGGGCTGGCATGGCTTTTGGAGGAAGCTGTTTAATTACCAGTGAAAGCCCTTCCATTACAGAGAGAAGAGAAACCATAATTGCATTTCGGAGAAGCCATTTATATGCAAACAAGGCTCTGGCAGACAGATGCTGGCGGGGGCCTGATCATCTTGGGCTGGAGCAGGCGACTAGGCCTGCCTCCCCCTTTTCTCCCCAGGCTAAGGCAGGGCCTAGCTCTGCTCTGCTCTGTTTAGAAAGCCAGGCTCCTGCTGTCTCCCTTTGCCTTGGGCTGTTCTAGATTTGATGAGGGGGTAGAGCTGTGCAATTAGAATCAGATTGAGCTGGGTTCAAATCCTGCTTTTGGAACTTTATTAGCTGGTAGCCTTGAGCAAGCCACATGTTTATAGAAAATGGATTGATCTTGCAGGATGATAGTTCATTTGGAGGTGGTGTATATGCTACTTGGCACATAGAAGATGCTCTATAAATCTTAACTATAATTTTTAAAGCACTCCTGAAGTTATGAAAGAAACCTAATAGGTAACCATCAACACATTTTGCAAACAGAAACCAAGGCCCAGAGAAGTTAAGTGATTTGTCTAGGGTCACATAGTTTTATTAAATCTAAGAATAAAACTTAGATTATGACTATAGTTTGGTATTTTTCCATTATCTTTTAGTGAAGCTGAATGATTATCTTCAAATATATCTGTTTAGTAGCCTCAAATTTCCATATAGTACTGGATTTGTTTGAAGTGGGAATCTACCTGTACTCTAATGCCCCCAGAAGATGTGGTAGGAAGGGGTACAGATGCCCCAGTAGTAGTGGGGGGATGTGAAGGGGCAAACTACTTTGACAGGCTGCCTGCCATGTGGGGTATAGGCTCTACTAGGTGAAACTCCTAAGTGCCAAGGAAAGGATTTGCCATCCTTCCAGGAGCCTGGGAGGCTGGTGCTGGCCTGTGTTTATCTGCTCCTGGGGAGCAAGGCTGATGGGAAGGGAGGGCCAGGCCTCCCCCACTTCTTCCAGGATCCACAGTTGTCAGCCACTAGCACCAAGACTTCCTGCCCACTTCTTCAGAGTGAACAAGAATAGCATTGTGTCCACTGCTCTGCCCTCCTCCCAGGACCCAGCCTCTATCTCACCCTGGACGCAATGATTCTGTCAGGCAAAGTTCCTATCTCCTTGCCTGTGCTTCTAGAACATCTTGGACTTCTATTAATAATGATGATGACTGAATGTATGGGAACCACTTTATTTCATCTACTCCTTCCCTATAAGGTAGATACTATTATTCCCCCATTTTGTAAGTAAGGAAACTGAGGCCCAGAGAGGTTAAGGGGGCCCCAGGCCACAGAGCTAGTAAGTGACAGAACCCTTCCGAGCTGGACACTGTTGCTCAACTGTTTCCCCCAGGGAACTCAGCTCTTTGAGAGCAGGGGCTGAGCTCAGATCTCTCCGGATCCCCAGGGCCTTGCCCAGAGCGGGCCAATGTTCATAGGGGATGGGGTTCTGCCCAGCTCGGCTGGGCATGGGGAGAATATTGGCGTCTTCTCCTGTCCTGGTGGTCGTCCTCCCATTGATTCCCCTTGGATAGGCTAATCCTGATTGGAGCTGCCAGCCAGCCCGCCCCACTCACTTGAGGGACAGGGAGAAGTCATTCTTGCTGGTCTCACTGTTGCGCACCAGGTAGCTGGCCTCTTTGCACAGTCGGAGCAGGTTCTCGGCATCTGTTCGACTGATGGCCCCGTGGTACCAGCTGAGGGTGAGAGAGAGGAAGGAGAGCATCTCTGCTGGGTCCTTCGCTGTCCAGGCCCACCCATTCTGGGTGTCCCCTGCAGGCAAGCCGGTGCCAGGAGGGGAAGCGAGGGGAAGATAATCCCCAGCTGGACACAGACACTCACACCTGGTTTTCCAGAGGCAGTGCTGGGTCTGTCCACTCCCCCAGGGGGCTGCTGGGCTCCACGGTTAGGGGCTTGGCTGACTTGGGGTTCCCTGCAGAGAGTCTGGGAGGTAGCCGCCCCTTCTCCTCCCGGCTGGGTGACAGGCAGCTCTTCTCAGTTCCTTCAAACTGGGCTGTGGGGAACATTCCAGTCACAGACTCTGAGGACCCTAGAGATAGAGCCCTATAGAATAGCCAATGCCCCACCCTCATTTCCTGCCCAAAGTGGGTCAAAGGCATGTTCTGGAAGCGGGGGACATGCTCAAGGGCCTGACTGGCTCTAGGGACACCATCCTGGGTCCATCTCCCTGAGAGGAAAAAGGGTGGTCGAGTTGGGGCTCCGCCTTCCTGTGCCACACATGGCCTCCGGGTCCCCACACTGTGTGGGGAGGGGGACAGCGGGCAAGAAGAGAAACCACTTAAGCTTCTCCCTCTGGAGCAGCTGACCGCTTTCCCCTAGTCCACCCCCCTCAGGGTGGTTTCAGCGCTGATAATATTGTTTCTTTCTCCTCCTCAGAGTTCATTACCGTTCTCCAAATCACCCTGCCAAGCCATTCTGTAGAAATGACTTATCGATCTGAGAACAATTATCCGATTCCCCTTGGTGCCATCCTGACAGACTAATCCTGTCCAAAGACACAAGCTGGCCCGCCTCCTCCCTTCCCCACTCCCCAAGGTCACTGCCCACAGGCTCCCCTCCTGGATCCACAGAGGCCCAGCCGAGGTGGCTCTGCCTTCCCAGACCAGGGCAAGCCTGACTGCTGAGCCTGCCACAGGGGCACAGGTCCACATGCACAGGTGACAGGGACCCTCCTTCGTCCTGTATTTATAAAATACACTCAGGCACAAATGTATAAACAGGTGCTCATGCCTGTGCACACGTGCGCAGATGCACACACACACCTTTGGCTGCCCATTCTGGGTAAAACTGAACGTAGATGAAGTGTTCAGTGCCTTCTTTCTCCCCATTTGGACTCTTTTTCTCTCCTTGTAGCACTTTCAAGCCCTTATTATATCTCAGACACCAGGTGCAAGTATCCAATCCTTTCCTTGACTCTCGGGAGTTAGACACTTCCTGTGTCAGCTAGCGTCACCTTCACCTCAGGAGTTATTTGCATTGCTGAAGGCAAAGCTCTACCCAAATAAGTGAATTTAGGGGCGAGGAAGATATTTGGAAGGGTCTTCCCTTAGGAGACACCTTCCCCACACCTTTGGGAGAGGGAGGAATGTATACTTTGTCCCTTTCTTCTTCCTCCATTCTTTGTGGGTTCTCCAAACCCTGCCCCACCTCTTAGCTACTCCAACCCAAGCCCACAGGGCCTAAGGGGTGAGAGGACACATCGCCCTGGCCAGAAGCCCCCACAGGACCCACCGCTGCAGTCCTCCAGGCTGGGCTCGGGGAGGGGTGAGGCTGGACCGGAGATGTCCCTATCCCCGTCGGGCAGGGAGGGGCTGCTGTCCAGTTGTCCCACAGGTGGAGGCCAAGGTAGGTCTTTGATGACCTTAATGTCAACTGGAGCCAGCAGCAGCAGGGAGAAGAGAGACAGACAGGGACAGAGACAGAGACAGAGACAGAGAGAGGCAGAGGTTGAGACACCAAAACCCAGAGCCAGAACACAGGACAGCCCAGAAAGGAGGATGGTCAGAGCAGAGGCTTCTGAGTGGGGGACAGGACTCTCAGAGGGCAAGGCAGAGCCACACTGATCACACCAGATGGCCTGGTCAAAGGATGGGAGGCTCATGTGGCAACCAGCAGGATGGAGGGTCTTGCTCTGCCAACCCTGCGGGTCCCATTCATTTGACCTCTTACAAGCCTCCAGGGCCCAGAGAGACCAGGAAAGGAGGAAAAGAGGCACAAGGAGCTGCCCCCACCTCCCAGCACCACACTCAGGTTCCCTCAGCCTCCCGGCACCTTGCCTCCCTTCCTTCTTTTCATGCAGCCTAACTGAGTCAGCCCAGCTTCAGGCTGCCAGGAATACTCAGATGTGGGGGCAGATGTTTTATTGAAATTTATCCCCCCCCCCCCAAAATCCTGAGCCTTGACAATTAGAAGAGTGATGCCACTGGCGGCTGCAGGACTGCTAACAAGGTTTCCTAATGACAAGCATAGATTTTCCCATTAAGCAATCCAAACAGTATTGATTCTCCAAGGAGACTTCTGGAGATAAACGGCCCATCCTCAATGGCGTGTGCTTCACAAGGAACAAATCAGAAATATGTAGTTTCTCAGTCTGGCTGCCAAGGTGGAGAGAACAGAGCTGGGTCCAGCCCCACGATGAGCCTCTTACTCAAGGAAGAATGAGGGGAACATGGGAATATGGGAGTGGGCATGAGGTCTAATGGCACTGAAGTCCTTTATGTTCGCACTGAATCAAGGATCCAGGAGCTAAAGCCCTCTCTGTACTCTAGGCTCTTGCATCCCCCACGCAAACCAACACACACCCCTCCGTGTTGGACTCCAGGCCCAGGATGGCCACTGGGATGGTTGGTACATGAGAAACCTAATCCTCATTCATCACAGCCTCCCTCCCCTCAGTGGTTCCATTTCTCCCTGCTCCTCAGAAATCCCTCTGCAAGTAGGTACACTGGTCTGGCATGGCCTACCACAGGGAGACACAGCTTTCTAACTCAGCGCTGGTGCTGGTATCGCTCAAGGTTACACTGTCTTCATTGTAACGCTGTTTTCATTGTCTGGAGTGTTAAATGCTTTCTTTTGTTAAGTGTAAGTATTTAACATATGCCACAAGTTTTATAATTTTGTTTGGAACTTCTTTATTTTTAAATATACCCAGCCCCCCAAAAGACCGAAGTGGCCCAAGCTTCTTGGCCTCTGCGAGGTGGTGATGCAGGGAGACGCCTTCGTCCTTCTTTTGTGCCCATTCCCTGACCCTGCACACAGCGCTGCATCCACACGGCCCAACTCACGGGTCTCTCCGTGGTGCAGACTCACCTACATTTCCCTTGAGCCCAGCTCCTGAGCCTCTGCTGGCCCTACGGCTCCATCCTTTCCATTCCCGAGCCGGGAAAGCTGCTCAGAGGCCCCAGCAGACCTGCCCTCTCCACCCAGGACTCACCGGCAAAGGCTTTGGAAATCCGTTCCTTCTTCCACTCCCAGGGCTGGTCATACTCCTCAGGGGGCCTCTCGTCATCCTCTGGCAGGCGGGACTCCCGGGGCCAGGGGGCCCCCTCACCCTCCGGGGTGTCCCCCTCCTCCTCTGGCTCATAGGGTGTGTCGTACAGAGGCAGGGGCTGAGCGGCTGTCTCCTTGGAGCCCCGGATTTCTGCCAGGGCAAGGCAGGAGGAGAGGTGTGAGAGCAGCTCTGGCTGCCTGGCTCAACTCCTCCAGCGGTGCTCCCCAGCGACGAGTCAGGCCTCCTTCAGAGGAGATGCTGCTGGCTCTGAGGGAGCCCAGTGGCCACACTCCTAGGGTGCCTCTCCCTTAAAACACCTCTGGGGTTCCAAACGCATGGGACCCAACAGAGGCAGGGGCAGAGGGGCACCAGAGTGAAAGACAGAAAAAAAGATCCTGTGATGGCAAGGGCGGGGGAGCCGAGGCTTACACATTTAGGAAACTGAGGCAGGGTCCTCTCCTAGTCCATCTCCTCTTTGCTACCCAGCTCCATGTATTTCCCTGTGTCCCAAGTGATCTCATTTCACAATCAGAAAATCCTTCTCTGTTGTACAGACACGGCTGACCATCCCTTCCTTGAAACCGTCCCCTTTGACAAGTCATTTGCATGGACTATCCTCCTCTCTGATCACCCCCATTTGGTCTCTCTCTTTCCCAGGATCCTCTTTGGGTCTCTGTTTCTAAGGGCCAAGTCTTATTCACTTCTCCTGGCTCTCACGCCTGAAACTACTTGTCCAGTCTCATGGAACACTTTGCCTCTATATGTTTCTAAATGTCATAAAGATGTGTCACTTGGACGTTTCAAACTCACCACTCTCCCCCAAAGTTCTTCTAGTCTGTTCTGTGATTTATCTTTTTGGGATCACTGACCCCAGTGAAAATCTGATAAAAGCTGTGGAGCTCCCCAGAAAAAGGTGCAAATTTTCCCATCAGTTGCAGGGCACTTACGGACCTCCTCGGGGGCCACACCTCTCTGACCTAAATATGGGAGCCACCCTCTCACGTTCTCCATTTCCGTCCACTACACCGCTTTCTTTGCCTGGCGATCCTTCATTCTCTGAGTCCCATCTGTTCATTGCCAATGCCTGATGACTCTCCCTCCTCATCTCTCTGGATCTTGATTAGGGTGAATCTCCATTTCCCAGGCTCCTGTTTCCTGGGCTCCATGAAATAACATTCTTGAACTTTGTCTGTCCTTTCACCCACCTCTCACAGGAAGGAGAGCAGCTTATCTGATCAGCCAATGGATGTGTGCTCTCTTTCTCAGATTTATCTTCTTGCGGAGAGAGAACATTCTGGTTCTTTCTCCTCCTGCCCCCGTGCAGAGGCCTACAGCTGTCCCACGTTGCCCAAGCCTGAGTGGACAAGTTGAATTCTGTGGTGAAGTATTAAGAAGCCCATTGTGGTGACATAGCTAAGTAATGTTCTCCAATCAACTTTATCAGTAATAAAGCTGACATCATTATCTCCATCTGTCTCTTTCCTTGATCTTATTTCTCAATTATTTCCAAGCTCCAAAGGGGAAACAGGGGTGTTAATGATTGGTTCCTTAAAGCCTCAGCAATTTCCACAATAGCCTGTTAACTCACTTTCTGATGCCCAGTTCTTCTAGTCTGTTCTGTACACCAAAGCCTCAGTAATCCTCTTAAAACACCATATTCGTCCTATTCCATTCTTGCTCAAGAATCCATAATGGCTCCCCTTCCCCTTTTGGAGCAAGTCCAAACGCTTCATTCCAACCTTCAAGGCCTTTCCCGGCCCCTCTTGGCCTCTCTCATCTTGCCTCCTGTATGCCCAGCACTAAGATTATTTGCCCCTGAACAAACCTTCCTCTCATCCTGCCTTGGGGCCTTGGCTTAGACGGACTCCCCCCTGTCCTCCCTGCTTGCCCTCATTTGGTTGCTCCCTGCATCCTTCCGTGACCTCTGCTCCCTTGGGCCAGTTCTTATTCATTTCTCCCTTCCCTCACTCCCTGAACTACTTGCCCAGTCTCATGGGCATCGCATCTGCATTTATAGTCATGTATTGCCACAAAGAGGTTTCACTTTGACATCACATCATTTAAAACTCACCACGTCTCTGTGATTCTTTTTTTGGCACCAATGACCCTCCAGCCCACACCATTGTCTTGCCCTCTCTGACTATTCCCAATACTTCTATCTGTCTGACCTGTGGTTACGTGGCCTCCTCTATCACCTCAAGTCTCAGGCACCACAATTCCAAAGTGACTATCTTGAAGGCAGTGGCCACCTTCCCCGAGGACCCAGCAAAGGCATCCTCCATATTTTCTAGAGACCAAGGGATCAGCTCTTAGACTTGTGGGTCCCAGAGCTTGTCCTACGAATACCCAGGCCTCAGGGAGCAACACTCTACCACCCCACCCGCCCCCAATCCCATTACTCGATTCTATCACTCACCAGCCATCATCTTTTGGGCCTCATAGGGCTCCATGTAGCCATCATTTTCTGGGACCTTCTCTTGGGCTCCTGAAGCTCCTGCTGGGCCTTCACCAGTCTCCTGAACATCAAACGGGTCCGCATAGTCTTCTAGGATTGCCAACTATGGGAAGAGAGCAGGCTTCAGACACCTGAGAGACAGCTCCGCTTCTCTCCAGATGCTCTGTTTATGGGAGCAAGGGTCCTGGACAGGTTGCTTTAAGACCCAGAGCCCCAGGTACCCAAGGGCAGGCTCTGAGCTCAGATGAGGACAAGCTCTGGTTATTCCTTTGCAGGGGTCCCCCACTAGGCTGCCAAAGAGTGATCCATCTTTCTTTTCTGTTAATTTTGTGCCTCTGGGCCATCCTCTAGGCTAAATGGCCACGACGACGAGGCTCTGAGCCTTAAGGCCTGCCTCAGTCAGGGTCCAGGAAGGAAAAGAGCCTACACCAGGTGGTTCAACAGAGGGGATTGATTCAGAGAACTGGTTACAAAGGTGCTGAAAGCCAGGATCTGGGTTCTGCTGAAATCCCCTGGGCTCCCGGAGGACAGAAACAGGAAAGGCCTCGCCTTGGTCCTCCACATCCCACACTTTCTCCCACACAAGTGGCTCATGGCCACCCCTCTGTCCCTGCTCCCAGTCAAGACAGAGGGAACCACAAGCCACACACCCTGTAGAGGAGTTCAAGGTGCTCAGGGCGGGGCGCAGCTGAGGACAATAGAGCCTTTCTCCAAGCTAGGCACAGGTTCCTGCGGGGTGGGAAGGGAAGGACTGGCTGAGACAGAGACAGAACCCAACCCACCCAAGGTTGCCAGCCTCTGGGGCAGCATTGCACAGTGGGTTGACAGGCGTTGACAAGAGGTTGCTCTGGGGTCAGCAGCATGGGGAGGGGCCACTCCTGCTTTTCCCCCATTCTTGATCTAGGCTTTGATTCTGTGCCAAGATCCCACAGATCAGGACTGTGGGGGTGACCGCCCTGCCCCGAGTTAGAGGATCTGGGGAACCCTAGCAAGAGATGGATAAAGGAATCTTTCCACCTCAGAGACCCCGTTCTGCATGCTTCCTGGACCCTTGCAGGGCCCTCTGAGGGTCTTTGAAGCATGTCCCAAAGGCTCCTGCCATCTCATCCTTCAGTTCTTCAGCTCCCACCTTGTTCCTTGTTCCTTTTGTCAACCCACCCAGCTCCTTTCCTCCGTCGAATCTCTGCCTGCTTCTGAGAAGACCACCATCTCAGATCATCCCATCTCCACCACCAGACCATCCACTAGCCTGGAGACCTTTGTCATGTTTCTCTCTCCAGCTCTAAAAGCACCTGGTTCACAGTAGGCACTAGAAAAATGTTTCAACTAGATCACTACGTATCTCCCTTGGAGCCCACCACACCTTAGCCTCCTTCCTCCAGGAAGTAAAGAAAGCCACTCACCTCCTCCCACCCTGAGCTGCTGCTTCCCAGGCCAACTGGCACCCACAGCCTCACCCACTTGACCAAGTGGGCTCTGGAGCCAGCCTGTTCAGTTCCCAGCCCAGTCCGCACCCAGCCTCACACTCATACATGGCAGATACTCAACAGTAAATGAATCAACAGACATTCTATCCTTAAATCTTGCAATGGCTCTCCAGTGCCTACAATAAGAAAGAGGTTTAATGATTTTACTTTCCTCTTTGGTTTCTGTCTACCCATCTCAGATCACTTTGCTACCTGAAAGCTCTTTGCTGTCTTTCTCACCTCAAGCCTTTCCCTCTGCCTGGCTCAGAGTCTCTTCTTTCTTCCGAGAGCCTTTCCATCCTCCCCTCAGGTCTGGTTAGGTGCCTCTGTGCTGGGCTCTGATCACATGTGTAGTAAATACTTGTTTTAGTATCTGTCTTCCTGCAGACTATGAGCTTCCCGAGGGCAGGAACCATGTTTACTGCTAAATTCCTAGTGCCTAAAAGTGCTCAGTAAATATTTGTTAAATCATTTCACGTCAAGCAGGAAGAATGGACAAAGGAAGCGTGTTTCCTTATTCATTCAGAAGAGGGAGGAAGCATGAACCTGGGAGTGTGTGGGATCAGACAGAAGGATTGAGTGCCCCGGAAGCATTTCAGTGAGCAGAAGCACCTGGCCCAAGCACCGACCCCCTCAGCTCTGCAGAGCACCCCCAGCCCTTCCCTCACCAAACCTGGCCAGAGCTGCATGCAGTGCCCTTCCCACTGGAGTGCTGGGCCAGTGCCCAGAGCTGCGACCCCTCCCAGGCTGGCGTGGGCATCCCTAGCGCCAGCCCTTGGTGCCCGTGGGCACCCAGGTGTCAGCTCTGCGGGCAGCTCAATGGCTCCTCTGTTCCATTCCTGGCTCCACACCCTGCTCCAGGAAGCCCCGGCCCCCCACCCTGGGCTGGGGTGCCCAGAGAAGACGCCCACAGGGCCGGGAGTCAGGAGCAGGAACAGCAGGAGAGACGCCTATTGGGAAGCCTGGCAGAACGGGCACCTACCCTGGGCACAGAGGACCCCTGTCAGAGGCAGGACCGGTTTTCCCAGTGGCTTCTAGGTCACACGAGGAGACAAAACTGCTCATTGGAGGAAGCTGCCCCTGTAGGTTTCTGACACCTTTGGCCTACCACGGTTTATTTTGTAAATGGGCCCTTTATCCAACTCTGATGTACTCACTGTTGTACACTGCATTCATCACAGGGCCTGGCACACAGGGGGTGCTCAGTGCCCATTTCCTGGAGGCTCAAAAAGCCTCCTTCTCCCCAGACTCCATCTTCTGGAGTCACAGACTCTCAGATCCCTGATTCACCCGAACTCTGACCGACCAGACCAGTCAGTATCAGCTGTAGGGGCAGGCTCTCAGGAGAAGCCACACTGGAATGGGGCTCAAACCCTCTGGCTCAAGGGAAGAAGGGAGGCACTGGCAGGGAAGGTCCTAAGACCAGGGCTGATACTTAGGCAAGCCCTCTGGTAGAGCCAGGATGCTGAACTATTTCCAAATGAGTTTGTAAGGAGCTGCTGCCCAGGGGGCTCCCTTGTCCCCATGCCTCCTGCCACCCAGATCCTCTTCCTTCCGACCATCCAGCAGGGTGCCTCCAGGAGCTGGCCCTTGTGCCTGTTCCAACTGGGCAGTGCCTCTCCCAGAGCAGCTGTCAGGCTTTGACTCTCTCCTGAGGTAGCAGGCAGGCCCACCATCTGGTGTGACCTTCCACTCTGCAGCTGGGCCTTGCTATTGAGTCCCTGACAAGTGTCCCACCCCATGGGGCTTGTGAATCCAGGGGGAGCAACAGGGCAGCCATCACAGGATTCGGCTCTGCAATGTCTCCAAAATCTACCACTACCCCTTTCTTCCATTTCTTTAGTTTACATTTAATGTCTGGAAGCCTCTGTTTTGGTTTTTTAATCTGTAAAATGGGGATGGTGTAAGTACCTACCTCATAGGATTGGGAAGAGCACAATGTAAAAGTCCTTAGCCCAGAGGCTGGCACAGAGTCGGTGATCAGTAAATGTTAGCCCTGATGATCATCTCTTATATTTGGGCTTTAAGGCCCCAGAGTTTAGGTGCTTGTCCAGGGTGCATAGCTTATAGCAGTAGAAACAGGACTGGGACCCAGGTCTCCTGACTCTCAGTGTCTTAGCATAGATTTTCCAGAAAAAATGGGAAATGTAGCATCTTGTCTCCTCTACTCGTACATTAAAAATACATGTTAACATGTTAAAGGCTCTGAGAAGCCCTGCAGCAAAGAAAGGAGTCTAATTTTGCTTAATTTAGCATTTGTCCAAAGTATTTAATCATGAAATGAGTTTTCTGCTGAAAGTCTGTCAGTTTGGGTAATAGTATATTACCTACCTTCCCAGAGATTGAACTTTTTGCACCCTCTCTTTCCACTTATTGGAATACCTTTCCCAATTTTATCTGCCAGGGAAACTCCGGCACATGAAACACATTTGCTATTGTCCTTTTCTAGTTACAAAGCAATGCCATGCTTGTAAAGCATTCAAATATCACAGACATGCACTCTATGTTGCCAACCCTTTTAAGATGCTTATGTGTCTGTGGTTACCCTGGGATTGGTGGCAGGTGCTGGCTTTCTGCGTTCAGCAATTGGTGAACTCAGCACAGAAGGCATCCCTCATTCCTTCTTTACGAGCCCCCTTCCATTATGCACTAGCAAATGCTTAGGGAACACCTCTTCTCTGTAGGGTTCCTCTCCATAAGTGTGCGGGTCCCCTGGCATGGTGCTGGCAGCTAGTCTGGAGTCAGGCTGCCTGGCTGTGAACCTCGGCTCTCCTGCTTACTAGCTGTGAAACCATGCAAGCGTGACTCAACATTCCTAGGCTTCAGTCTCCCTATACACGACCTGGGGATAGTAACTGAATTTTCCTTATAGGGTTTCGTTGTAAGGCTCCACTGGTTTCATAGATGTCGGCCACTTCAAAACGGTACCAAGGCACAAGACAGGTGTTCAGTAAATGTCCGCCATTATATCATTAAAGATGAAAAGACTAAATTCCTGGATCCTCTAGGACAGCGGCTCTCAACCTGTGGGTCGCGACCCCTTTGGGGGTCGAACGACCCTTTCACAGAGGTCGCCTAAGACCATTGGAAAACAAAAAGATACTTACATGACGATTCATAACAGTAGCAAAATTACAGTTATAGAGTAGCAATGAAACAATTTTATGGTTAGGGTTCACCACAACATGAGGAACTATATTAAGGGGTCGCGGCATTAGGAAGGTTGAGAACCGCTGCTCTAGGAGCTCACAGTGACAGACACAGAACAAGCTCCAAAAAACTGAAGCACCTTGAGGTGCCTCAGGCCCTGGAGGCACCACAGGCTCACTGTATGCAGGGATTGGGCCCCACCTCTGCTCTCACATGATATGGCGCTGCTTCTGTGGTAAGGCAACTGGAGTAGGCACAGGTACCCCATCCAAGCCCAGGCCCCAGCCAGCTGCTCGCATCCATGGCCCACAACATCCCAGCTGTTCCTGACTCCCCATGGGCGGAGCACCAGGGCTGAGGTGTCACTGAGTGGCTGGCAGAGCCAACAAGCTGTGATGTCTTCTAGAGGGAGTGAGTGCTGCAGTGTGAGGAGGTGGCACTGAGTAGAGCAGACAGGCCTGCCATATAATCCTATAGGTCTCAGTCTCAGCCTTCTTGGAAGCACAGAGGTCCAGCCCAGGTCACAATTAAGACAGCGGTTCTCAACCTTCCTAATGCTGCGACCCCTTAATACAGTTCCTCATATTGTGGTGACCCCCAACCATAAAATTATTTTCGTTGCTACTCTATAACTGTAATTTTGCTACTATTATGAATCATAATGTAAATATCTTTTTGTTTTCCAATGGTCTTAGGCGACCCCTATGAAAGGGTCGTTCGACCCCCAAAGGGGTCACGACCCACAGGTTGAGAACCACTGGTTTAAGAGAGATGTCCACCAGCACCCCTTGATCTGGTCCCTTCTCTTCTCCTCCCTCTACTTCCACTGGAGGACATGCATGAGATAAACAGATCAGACTCCCAGACGCTGTGGAAGTCTTAACAAGGAAAATTAAAGCAAACAAGCAAACTCAAAAAAGTCAAGGACCAGGTCTTCTGGGTAGTGAGTCCCTTTTAGCACCTAGGTGTCACTTAGTGTGTCACTTAATGATACACAAACACTCAATGAACACTGGCTAAGGGAGAGGCCCTACCCACCCTCCTAACCCCAGGGCAGGCCTGTTTTATTTGACTTCGGACACCTGAATATCTCCCTCATTTTACTATACTGTTCCTACTCGCCTGTTCACTCATTCCAAAATTTGGGCCTAGAGGATCCAAGTCCATGTGGATATCATCTATGAGATACAGCTCTTTTTTAAAGTTCTTAATATTTTGGGCCCTATGTTCTTGTATGAGAATCTGAGAGCTGTGAGCCTTTTCCAGAAAAATGCTCATGTACCCAAATATCTACCCAATTTCTGGAGGTTCATGAACCCCAGAAGCTTCTCTATGAGCTAAGAACAAGAGACCTAGTTTCATTCATACAGGGTGCCTGCCTTAATGTCTTATTGTTCACATAACCTACCTCCCTCCCTCTCTCTCCCTCTCTCTCCCTCTCTCCCTCT